TGCACGTTTTACACAGAGATCACTGTCCCAGTTTTTTATTTTTGCCTTAAGTACAATTATTTACAATTAAGGCAGATGTCATGTAACTCGAAGAAATAATTTGCTCGAATCCCACTCAACAGAAAAAAAAAAAAAAAAACCAAACTAACATAAAAACCCCGATCTGAAGATGAAACTCGCGTAAAAATGTTCATTAAGTAGTCTTTTCATTTATTCCTTTCTCGCAATTAGGGTCAGTTCTGGTTACTAAATAACCGTCTCCAAAAATGCTCGACGTATTTATCATACTGCACACTATTTGTTACATGTAATATCCACGTCTTGATTGAATTTACAACGTTGTTTGATTGTGACAAGGATTGTTACATATCATCAGTAACGACATGTATTTTCAGATATAAAACCCGAGTTTTTGTATGAGAAATATCTTGGGAAAATCACAAGTTAGAGTCTGAGCTAAGAGCACTGACTAGCCGAGTGAAATGAATCAGTCATCACTGGTAACGGCGGCGATATTGTGTGATTGTGACTGTTGCTTCGCCTGAGCCACTCTGATATGGCTAGGCGTCAAGGAAAAGGAAAAAAACAAACAAACACCAAAGGGGAAAAAAAAAAAAATACAAGGAAACAAAACAACTCACACCACTGATTGGGTAAATTAGTTTTGTTTTTATTTCACTTGATTTTACCGTTCACAATCAACGCCCATCCCTGATGTAGGAACAACATCAAGTACCACATGTGTAGAGAAAAAACAAAAATGCATTTTTGACGGCATAAGTTTTCTGTTACTAAGTATATTGGAGAAGAGTAAATGAGAAGAAAATTGGAGTGTGTATCAGAATTCCTACAAGGCCAAAATTCAAAGCCGTGAGTTGAATTTCAAATTTCAGTTGAAATATTTCTTCCCTAAGCAAATCTTGGACCCATCAGCCATTTTGCTCGGCCCGACGACACACTATAATCATCTTCAAAAGCCAAACCCAGAGTCCTTTGCCGGTAGGTCGGGCGCGATACTCTGAAGAAGTTTCGACGAGGACGCTTTTCCAAATAAGGTGACCAAGAGAGCCACTCCGTAACCCGTTGCCCTTTCACCCTGCAACAACAAAGATGTACGTCAATTGAGCAGTGACCTTGAGACTGGGACAAGCTGCACTACAATCTCGAGATTTGAATTCAAGTTTTGTGCGAAATATTAGAGAAGTTGAGCATGGCTAGGCAAAAATAAGATTTCTTGTTATGTTTTAAGGTTCTATTCAACGGCGCTTAGGGCTTTCCTCACCATATGAGCTGGAGCAGCCATGTCAATGTGCAACCAGCTTCCTGGGAAATCGAATCCTAAGTGGGAACCTGGATAAAGAAAGAAATCAAGTGAACTTGTAAGGTCAAATTATCTGCGAAAAAAAAAATCGCTTAATAAAGAAAACAAACAAACAAAGGGGAAAAAAAGCCTACCATATCACCAAGACGAGGCTTTCTTTGTAAGTCAAACGATACAGATTGCAAAAGTACAAATAATTATTTTAACAGTGACATAGACAAATATTTTTACAAGAAACATGATTAAATATGTCAAGCGATAATGCAGCTATTTTCTTCGGGTAAATGTTAAGTTTCTACAGTAATACCACAAAGCCTCCACATAGTACATACCAATAAAAAGGCCAGCACAGGACACCTGAGCATTATCACGATTCTGCGACAAAAACAAAACATTGAATGATGTACCCCATAAACTGGCATGTGCTGTAAAAGTTCTAGGGAAGTGAGTTCCGTAGCGATTAGTCCTCCATAGCCTTTCTACTCAACCGTGGATTAATAAAACGTTACACGTTTAAAAGTAAATATGATAAGGGAAGAACGAAACCCAGAAGCTACGGTGGCTCACTTCAAGCTCGGGAAAGCTCGGGTAACGTAATCACGAATGACTTTAATTTTTGTTTCGGATTGAGTATTGCGTGTGTTTTCTCTACCAATCACAAGACGTAGTCATGGAAAACCAGAGCAGTCGCGGATCACTTTCGACACTCACTTCACAACTTGTTTGAAACAAATAGGAATTAGTTTCCATGCCTTGCTCCGCTTGTTCCTATGGTACATTGTAATAACTAAATCAAAGCTATGGAAAGACAAATTGTATTACAAATAACTTACTGCCACTGAATTTTTCATATCTGCTATTGCACTTGAAAATTCCGAGAAATGAAGTTCTGGGCAATATGGCACGGGAAACTGACAGAATGAAACGAAAGAAATATAAAGAATAATTAAGAGACTGGAAAAATGTTTAAAACTAAGCAGATTTTTATGCCGATATCGTCCACTGAAGAGATACAGACGTACAAAGGTCAACAATAACGTATGGAATAAAGAGAGATTTTCACATCTGGAATGAGCGTCGGGTAACCTCTCTGGTTCTAACCCTAGACCTGCCGAGAATCACGATCAGTTGTTAACGGTTGAGAGATCGGATTTTTTACTTATTGGCCTGTAGAAAACTAGTAGGCGAGCATTTGTATGAAATGGGTTCAAAAGTGGCCAGCGTCCTGGCCACGATAAGCGGTGTTGAAAGCGCAGTGTGTGAAAATAGATTCAAAAGATGATAAATTTAAGAATTGATAGCTCGGTCGTGTTTGAAGAAGTCGGTTTAACATTTATCGCGAGCTGAGACTTTTTCACAGTGCTTTTTATAAGTGAATTAGAAATGCCAAAATTTATTACCTGAGAGGTTGACAATGATAATCAACTACTTACCACCAGGTCTCCACTTGCTCTTCCCGCCGCAGCACAAGCTGGTTCCCAGATCTCTTTGTTGGTCAAAAGTGACGCTTGGTAGCGTCCTGTTGCGATACCCTGGGCACCAGTCAAAGTGGCCATGTCTAGAACGACGTCGGCATGAAGATCCTTCTTTGCGTATGCCACCTTTAAACAAAAAAAAAAAAAACAAAACAAAAAAAAACAACAACAACATCATTTTAGTTAAAGAAAAGTTAACTGATTCATAGCATAACAAGATGATCCTGGAGCAATAGAACGTTCTCTAGTTCCAGCACACTTAATGCACATCAACAACATTTTTGTACCCAACATAAAAAATAGTGATAAAAATAATGATAAATTGACGTAAATATAAAGGAGTACTAACTGCCCCAAATAACCATAGGGCACATCAACAGGGTCGACTCAAGCTTCGATCACGGCCAGGATAGGCCTTTTTCTTAGAACGGTCCTTTTCCCTCTCCAAACAGCAGTTGGTCATGGTTATAGAGCCATGGTCAACCACCAAAATGAAAATGTTTTTCGTGTAAGAAAACATTCTTAGAAGCAGGTCTTACCCCATCTCCAAGGACTAAGCGGCCCTCAGCGTCTGTATTGTTAACTTCAACAGTTCTACACCAGATAAATAAGAAGACAGTTTCAGCATTGCAAGGTGTCCCCAAGGTTTTTCTTGTTGCTTTTCGTTTATTATAATATTCCTTTAGGGTTCAAAGGACAGAGAAAAAAGATCGGCGTTCCGATCGTCAGGCTTCGACTTTATTCTCCATCTGTAACAGCAAGTACATGATGTACAGACCTACCACCTACCCTTTCCTCCCTTCCGTTTCTCCGGGGGGGGGGGGTGGTAAGGGTAAGGCTGCACGTAGGCTAGTACAGACCATAATTTTAAATTTTACCAAGCCTCTAGAGGTCAATCAAATCTGGAAAAGTCGCTTGTGAATTCAGTTCTCTACATCCGATTCAAAATAAAAGCAAGCTGGTGACTGGAGTAAACCGTTTTATATTCCTGAGGCTCGCATTCGACTCGGCTGTTAGTAATTGGAACTTGGGACTAAGAAAACAGCACAAAAAAGTATAAATGCTCGTCGGTCATGTGTAGTTTTCATCCCACTCATTGAAAAGATTCTCAGCTATGTTGAGATCTGAGGCAGGATGCTTTACGCCTAAAGCGCATTTCGATCAAGTGTTAGTAGCACCAAACTAACATAAAATAAAAACAGCCAATCACAGGGAGATTTGGTGCGAGATCTCTTGACCAATCACGAGCGAAGAAGAGAGAAACCGATAAAATACCACATTACTTTCGACAATCCCGAGAAAAATACTCTACAAACGACACAACGAGACTTGCATTGTTTACTAGCTCACGGTAAAGTTATTAGCTGAAAGATTCCCATGAAACTTACTTTCCTGAGTATAAAGTCAAAATGTCATCTGGTCTGGTGGCATGAGGACCAACAGCATTTTCTGCCATGCAGAACACAGCATGAAGATTCTCAGTAAAGCCCTGTGTAAGAATAATTGACCGAGTCGTTATTATTTTTATCATCATTATCATATTATTTGCAACAAAGCAACTCTGAGCCAATCAGACCTCATTCGAATGTTCTTCATTAGTTACGACGAGTGCGAGAGCTGCTTTTCTGAAAGCAGAACAAACTCGCCTTTACTTTACTTTTCAATGCTGTAGGTTTAAAAAGAATATGGGTACGGATCTTGATTATGAGTAAGAAATACTCATGACAAAATTGGGACCAGAAAAAGAATCCACATAATCGAGAAATCCGGATAATCGAAGTTCGGGTAATCGACGCTCGACTGTATTATCATTATTATTGTTATTATTATTATTATTATTATTATTATGATTATTGTTTTTTTTTCGACAGATTTAAATTTTCTTTTTATGAATTTTGAACATAATCGCCAACCAATTGGCACATTTGATATCGCACAGGACCACCAAGCAATAAGTCGAAGGCTCAAGCCCTAGAGGAGACCAACACTCAGGGTTCAAAACTAAGTATCCTGCAGAATATGCTTTGTATTCGGCGTTTTTCAGTCGAGCGGCGATTATCGTAGAGCAAACGTGTAGGCAATCCACGCACGAGGCAAGGAGCGCGAAAAAGTAACCCTCGCGCTTCGCGAACGCCTGAGCTTTGCGATTATTCGCCCTACAAATCGCACATGTAAAGCCCGTTCTGTGGGTAACAGTTTCTTACCATATCTGGCTAAACGTCATGCGGTGGAGTCGTGTGAAAGGTTTGTTACAAAACGAGAACAGAGAATTGTAATTAGAACCCCGAGTGTGTACCAGAAACCCCTTTTTTTTTGTACCGTTTTCAAAACCTTTGAAACCCTTATCTGGAATGAAAATTCGATCAGCTTTACGGGTCCGTTAAGTTACCGAGACCTTCAAGAAACGGCCCCCAGGTTTCCATTATTAGCGTGACAGGACCCACGCTCCTCCGCATGTGGGAAGATTTGTGACGAGTTGGGGCATGGGGGGGGAGGTGTGCCGTAAGTCTGGCACTAATAATAATAAGTGGTCAGACCCCTTGCAGAAATTTCGCCAACTTGCGTTGCTCACTGCGTTGCTCTATGTCCCCCAAGAACTCTTATTTTCCCAACCGTTGTCGGAAGTATTGTCGGTGGTAGTGACGGGCATTTCCAATACCTGAGCGGCAACCATCACTAGAGTCATTCCTGCGCAAGGTAAAATGCTCGGAAGAAGTTTGATGTCAATTTAGATGTTAATGTATGCTTCTAGGAAATCTCTGTGAGACAGGAAAGTTCTGTATGGCTGCAACTTACTAACCCGTTTCAATTCTGCTGAGACTTACTAACCTGCTTTACTGCAGCTCTAAAAGCTCCCAGAATGCCAGCTGCTCCTCCACAGTCTCTTTTCATCCCAGGCATAGAGGTCTGCAAAATAAATCAGCTTTAACTCTATACCTCCACATATTTGATTAAATAATTCTCTCTTGTGGCCAACATTGGAGGTCAGAGGTTGATTGCGGGCTCAATAGCGGTTTGCCTGTATCACTAAATGTACTCTTTGTTGGTGAAAAAGTGAAATAAACAGTGACGTCCAAAAATTCAGCTTCCTGGTGTCTTTGATGTTTCTTTTCACCGGCCACACCTTCGTTTTGATGCATAGTCCTCCAGTGTCGTACACAATCCCTTTTCCACACCAAGCTATGGTCCGTGTAGCTGACATGGGTGTATGACTCAGTATTACTAAGGCTGGTGGGTTGACTGCTGCTTTTCCAACTCCATACAATCCTAAAGAGAGCATTAAACGTGAAAAAATGAGTCTGAATCAATCGCCCACTGGAGCTTCAATCAGTTCCTGTGGCATGAGGTGAGTAGGTATTTTGCTGCTTCAGCTGAAATGTGGATGGGATGTTGATGGGATAGGATGCTAGTCTTTGCTATTCTATCTAGCCCTCCAATAATTATTTTCAGGGGTTCCCTTACAGTTTCCGGGCCCGCTGTATTTGGTTGGCTATGCTGTTTGCGGTATCCCTGCCATTTTTTTTTCTTGTCATTTTTTGTAATTTTTTTTATCTATTTATTTTGATAGTTGTTGATTAGCCAAGTTAATAAATAAATAAATAAATAAATGAATAAATAAATACAGTTTACCAGCACCCATTTATACCCCTGGGCCCACTTGTATAAAGAGCGGATGACGCTATCCAACGGATCAATCGCTACCCGACGGATAATTGATAGAAAAACGTGTAGCTTTATCCACCGGATATAGTTTTATCCGCCGGATAGCGTTATCCGACTTTCCAACAACCGGGGCCAGGTTGGGGAAGAAAAACTGCCCCCAAGGGCAAAACAAATGCACGATGGATGAAGCTTAAAGCTAGACTTTTCAATCCAGAATTTAGTGCACTGATCCTTAGATTCCATGATTGAAAGTAATGTAAAAAATTCCATGATTGAAAGTAATGTAAAAAAATATATATTCAACATCTATCATTAACATAATTATAACATGAAGATGACTGTCAAAGGATCATCTGACGAGGGTGGTAAAGGGGGAGGGGTCAAGAGATCACGTTTCACGGAAAATAAATCGGTTCTTTCACAATTCACGGTCATTTTTAATTACTGTCGAAACTACAACAAAAATCACGGTTCATGACGAATTAAATACCTCTTTCTCATTTCACGGAGAATTATTTTGGAAAATCACAGTTCACGGCTACCAATGAAATCACGATTCACGAGAAAAATAAAAGCCATTTCACTTTCACGGGAAAAAAAATAAGCAATTCACGAATGACGCTAATACCCTTTACCACCCTTTATGACCCCCAGTTCTTAATTCCCGCTATGGCCAATGATACAATGGCATTCCTTGACCCTTTACACCCTAACATAAGTATACACATTCTCCATACTGTTCTCCACTCATTTTCTAAAGTGCAGACTAGGAGAATTTGTTTCACAACCACGAGCTTTTTGATTTGGTGATCATTTTCTTTATTCTCCTAACTTGAATGTGTGATTCAGGGGTGACATTGTAAGGGGAAATTAGGGGTCAAAATATTAGTTAGACACCAGGTTCACTATACTACTAGTTACATTCACAGTTAAGGATTATCCCTTTACAGATATTAGGGCTCATTGTACCTCCAAAACCTTTTTGATCAAGTTCTTCTCCTTTGACTATCACTGGAACAATACCTAGTTCTTCGCCAACTTTAGTGATTTCCTGGAAAAATAATGACAAGAAGAGGCAAGAGAAGGCAGAAAATCAAAATTAGTGCAGGGCTTCTACACGGTGCAAAGATACTGGGCCATGTAGTACATGTAACCTGATCATATGATATCATCCAGTACATTTAAAAATTTTAAGATAAAACTACAATCAGTTTGTACAGATTTGTTTTTGACTTTCCTGGGCTTTTTAGGCACTTCTCTCTAGATATAACTATTTTTTCTCCTACATCACACACCTTAGTTGTGATAAAGAATGATAACAAGACTTTCTCAGCACAGAGCATACTAAGCATCTCCAATGTGTCATTGGTGTTTGGATAAGGTGAAGATACCCATGTTTAGTATCAGCTCATACCTGCACAAATGCAGTGGTGTGCATATCTCCACATGGCATATCTACCAGGCGAGCACTCAGACGGATGCTGTCTGCAACTACATTCATACAAGCTGCATCTTCACTTGAGATTGGAGAAGCATTGTTTCCAACCAGAATAAACTCTACAGTAACAGTCCTTGATAACAATTTAACAGCTTTAGAGGACTTTCTTGAATAAGTTGGGAAAGCCCTTGAAATGGCACAGGCTGAAGCAAAAGCATCACCTCTCTCGCAGACAACCTAAGGAGCAGGAAAAAATCACATGTAGTTAAGGTGGCTGCACACAGTTTTTGATACCTGTGTTTCTTTCACCAGTGTCTCTAAAATCCTTGATCTCTCGGTCACCAAAACTGGCAGCAAGCAAGTTAACAACACAAACTTTCTTTTTTTGATAGTTCAACTGATGTATGAGCCATTGCCATGGCGACATGAATAAATATAAACAGGCCTTTAAATTGGTATTGTTTATTTGTAGAAAATCTATTCATTAGATTTTCTTTATAATCTGCATGCAACGAGCTTGTAATGATACTGACAAGTTAACATCATTTTGCTAACATTTTAACAGAGAGATCTTTAACTATCCCTTGTTGAAGGTTCACCTGTTTATCTAGAATTTCCTTTATTAAAAATCAATTTTTTCACTACTCCAGTTACTTATTTCCTAAAGTATTTTTGTGCCAAATTTCGTGAAATTCTAATGAGTGGTTCTCAAGAAATAGGCATATTTCCGAGAAAGCAATTTTCCATTCAAGTGCAATTTTTTGACTTACTACGCATGCACTGCATTTAACTGAGTTCTTTCGGTAATAACGAAAAAGCTGAGAATTGCTAGGTTCTTTGCATCATTAACTTTTCTAACATATCTTTGTAGCAAAAGATTAAAGCCCTCAATACACTGCACCAACTATAGAGAAAAGTAACACAGATAGTTAAGTAAATAAAATGACCGCTCTAATGACAGCATGTGTGCATGCTGAATTGCATCATTCAGCAAAAGCACGCACAAAAACTGTGTTCGGCCACCTTAATAAACTGTTTTAATTGTTAAGCCAGTCATCAAAATAGTTAAAAAATTATTTCCATGATTAATTTCGAGGATTAGTCTTCAGATCCATTGCATTGTGTTTCACTTTATGGCCTGGGTTATTTGACCTCTGAAAAATCTCTCAACCAATTGTGGCTACCATTTTGTTTCCATTTTAGTTTCATTTCTGGTTTTATGTTATGGTGCGTGTCACATGACAATCTCTAAGGGACTGCATGTGCTTTGAGATTTTGGCTTCGTGTAGCTGTTTTGTTGAGCAAAACAGTTCTTGAATGTGATTGTGATCATGATTGTAATACGACCATTATTGCGATTTCCCTTTCTTTTGTACATTATCTTGTAACGCTACACAAGGATTAAAAGCAAAAGTTACATCATTCAATTTCATAATTTCCTTGCCTGATAAGGTAAGAAAAACTATTTCATGATGAAAAGAAGGTGACAAAGTTAGGTTTATAAAAATGTAAACATCTGCATACCACAATACAAGCATCCCCTCCTGGAAGATGGCTGCAGACAAGCTTGTTGAGGAAGTGAGGACTGGCTGGAGAGTTATGACGACTGGATTTGTTAGGAAGAGCACCAATAACCATTTGATTCAGCCAAACTGGACAAGCATCTGAACCCGCCATGGTGTGAAGCACAAGATTAAATGTCTAAAAGATAATCAGAAATTCTGGTTTTAACCCTAAACCCTTTATCTCCCATGACTGACCAAGACAGAATTTCTCCTTACTGTCTCAATACAATTTTAAGAAGACAAGTAATGAGAATTAAAAAAAATAACAATCAGGGGATTATCAGTTGATCTAATACCAAATTATCCAAACTAACATCAAAAGGATTGTATAACAGAAAGTAAGGAGAATATGAATGAGATCTTGGTAGTGAAAGGGTATTAACTACTATTACCTGATTAGCAAATTTAAGCTTCTTAACTTTTCCTTATGTATTAATTTAGAGAACTGCAAGTTAGAATTGGAAACAAGGGTCTCATTTATCAGAAATGAAAGTGCAAGGGAAGAGTGTAAAGTTACAGAGGAATAATCTGAAAGTGCACTATAAAAACTTGCTTATGGCTGTGTTGTTCAAAGGCAACTGGGGGCAGCAATTTTTCATTTTAGTTTTGTAGGAATAAGGACAGTTTAAAAGATCATATATTTGCTTATGTTTTGTCTTATGCTAGGGGAAAACGTCAAAATGTAAGCCCTAGTGTACCCTTTATTTCAAGAGGAAACAAGGACAATTTCATTTTTGATCTAGGAACATCACTAGCCTCCTTTCAAACAACTGGGCTTAGCCTAGTACAAAATTTGCCTTGTAACTGGTGAATCCTGTACACTCACATGATTCATGGTTGATGTTTACACATCTGTTTAGTACAACTGAAGATTCCAAATTATCTCTTCTACAATTTGATTGGGTTTTGTTCCCTGATCAGCATTCTTTGAAGGGAACTGGTCAGTGATACTTCCATATCAGATTTTCAGATTTTATTCATGTCTTGACTCAAAACTGAAAAGTTTGGATCACTGAAACTGAAAATATTAGCTGTGTGCATCTCAGTCAAAATGTTTATGCACTGAGGAATTACTAGCAATGAAAAATTATAATTTTTTCTATATCACAGCAAAATTGCAACATATAATAACTAAATAAAGCTCATCTTGGTCACCCTGAACCTCCATAAATATATTAAGGTGGAAATCATTAGGAAACGTACAGAGTTACCTGAAAATGAAATTTCTGGATAATTGGAACCTATATTAATCGAGCACTGTAATGGGATTGGTATGAAACTAAAGGATTCCAGGAGTATGTGAACCTCCAAATGTTCATATCACATATATTATATCATCAATAAATCGAACTGAAGTACTTCAGTTTGTTTTGTTTTTTTTTTCAATTAATTTTTTGTATTTCATCATTTTTTAGTGTTTTTTTTTTATGGTTGAAGGTTCTGAGAACTGTTGCGCTGTCAGAGCGCTGAGTGCGCTGCCTCAATTTTCACCTCCAGTCCAAATGAGGTGTTTTAACGAAAGTATCTAAATTCATCCTGAGCCCTCTTCAAAAACAGTTGAAACCATAAAAAATATCTGGAGGATATTGCTTCAAGTGTAAGCCGTTTATTTTCCGCAACCCGGCAGTACAGTCGAGAATATTGATGAGTTACCAATTTTGTTCCGTGAAATCCTTGTTTCCAGATCATCGAGAATGATCGTTTGCAATTCAAGAAGTAACATAACCATAAACGATACGAAACCATTAGAGATAAGGTGTTTCAATAAGAGCAATTCAAATTGATAATGGTTCAATTATTGTAAACATAAATTTTAATAAAATAAAATAAAAAAGTGCCGTACGTACCGCGGCGTCAACTCGTGGCGAAAGTTTTTCAGCAAAATGATCAAATGTAACAGCCTGAAGGTTTCGCGGTTGCCCGATGATCAAACATCCTCGCGCTTGGGGATCAGATGAAGTTTTAGCGGCGGAGAAGGTAAGTGTTGTTTCTGCCATTTTTAAGCTAAAATGAAAAAGACACGATAGGAGCGCAGTTGTACCCAGCTCACACTCGGTCAATTCGCTCGGAAATTCTCGGATCTTGTCGGATTTTAGCTCGTCGAGGGCGTTTCGGAAGTTTTGGTAGAATGTTTTAGTACGCAATTTAAAAGCAGAAGAAAAAAATGTAGAAAAGTATTCTTAAAATTCCAGAATGTAATGTCAATGCAGAAAACTACTTTTGGAAAAAAAATCACATGATAGTGGTGAACGCTCCCCTGTCGGTGAACGCCAAGCACGTTTGGCTATCGCGTTTTTTACCGGTCAGCGGAATGCGTAAAGCCCGCGAACTCTTGGATCGACAGTCCGAGACTTCTTTGCGATGCTAGATTCTAGAATGATTACCGATGTAAACATGGATAGATTTCTAATATTTCTTCTAGAGCACGATGATTCCTTAGCAGATCATGAAGGTGAGATGTATTTAGATTTCATTCACCGGCAACGAGCTGAAATGACGAATTTCATGCCCCAATATTTGGCCTAACTGAGAAGCTTTACTTTGTGGTTTACAGTTGCTCGTTTATCTCTAGGTATAACAGACTAATGACATCAAAGGCATGATTAGATTCGTTTTAGAAGAACGAAGAGCCCATTAGAATTTGCCTCACTCCTAAAATGCGGTATCATATAGCTCAGTCAGTAGTAAAGTCTAACTAGTGTCAGAGACACGGTGATGCATTCAATCATAGAGGACAAAGTCTGGATCAATGTTACTATAAGTAGTGTCGGCTGACATGGCAACTGACATGGCGAATGATATGTCAACCGACATGTTGGTTGACAGTCGGTCAACAGTCGGTCGATAGTCGGTCGACAGTTGGTCGATAGTCGGTCGACAGTTCGGTCGATAGTCGGTCGATAGTCGGTCGATAGTCGGAAAATAGTCGGTCGACATGTCGGTCGATATGTCGACCGATATATGTCGGCCGATAGTCAGTCGACATATCGGTAGACAGTCGGTCAATATTTGACTGACACTTGGCCGACACTCGGTCGACACTTGGCCAATGCTTCACCGATACTTCGCTGACACTTAATCATATACCTGAAAGTTTGTGTCTTCAAATCAAATTTTTCTTCAAATCAAATTTTTCAATACCGACACTGCAACAATACACAACCACACGAGCGACGTTCAAACTATATTTACCAATAAAGTTCAGACACTTGACCGATAGACTACTGACACTCGGCCGATAGACCACTGTCACTTGACTGATATTCCACCAACACTTGACCGATATTCCACCAAGACACAACACTCCATCTGTCGGTCGACATATCGACCGACATGTCGACCAACTATCGACCAACTATTGACTGACCTATCGACTGACTATCGACCAACTGTCAACCGATATGTTGGTCGACATGTCGGTCGCCATGTTGGCCGACACTACCTATAGTAAAATTGATCCCAAAATCTATTCAGTCTTCCTTTCAATATTAACTTTAAAATCAAAATTAACTTATGAAATAAATGAATTGCTTCTTAGTTGACCAGTGGTCAGCAAATGGTGCTTATCACCTAATTGTCAGCTGTGAGTAGGCAAGATGTCGTGATAATTTGCAAACATCTTTCATGAGATATCAATTAACCAAATGTTGGTCATATCTTCCATGATACGTGGGCTGACTATTGGTTACATTTTGGATGACTGTCATCAGAACTGTCTACCATCCCTCAGCTACTACTTGGTTATTTGATGGACTAAACATTAGTCAATTTCATTCTTTTGTATCAGCATGTTCCCATTGTAATGAGGATGTGACTCCTGCTGTTCAGAGTTTGGTTGAAGATCTTATTGTATTTTGCAATAAGAAGGAAAATTCTTTCAAAGATATTGAAAATACCCAATGGTCATCAATAGGTGAGTATAACAAATGTTATGGAAAAAAGGTTGGGATGGTAATGAGTCCTTTTTGATTTTGTGTTTTAAAACTAAAATCAAAACAATCAAAGCAGCTAATCAGACTGAAGCGAGAAAAATATCATTGGGTGCAAATCAGAACCTGAAATAAAAATAAAGCTATCTGCCGGAAGTATGAAAAAGGCTGGAAATTTAGAAATATTGATGAAAGAGGTAATAATAACTGAGTTCCTCTCCTTACTTCAGATCCTCTTCTAGCGCTCAAGAACTTCAACCCCACAGTTCATTTCACCATCATTGAGGACAAGCCATTCCTGGACCAAATGGAGGTTAAGTGATGAAATGGCAGCTGTTAGACTGAAATTATAACTGAAATCTAAATAGTCTGGGTAAACCTTCGACAGAAGGCTCAGTATTCATTTTTAAATACCAGCATGGTTGGTTTGTTCTAATTGAAGGCAAGCACCCTTAGTTTGTCTGAGCCATCAACCCTTTACATGGTATCATCAGTGTGTATATTCTCCTCTTTGTTCTCTATACATTTCCTAAGGTGCTTTCTAGGAGAATTTATTTAACAATCAAGAGCTTCTTTAGTTGGTGATCCTTTTCTATATTCTCATGACCTTAATGTTTTATTTAGGGGTGATTTTGTAAGGAGAATTTAGAAGCTATAATCACTCTTAGAGGCCGAGGGAGTGATTTTTGTAAGCAATTGTAAATTGAATATGGTTAGCCCTCTAACTCTTTAATTCCCAGACGTGATTAACATGAAACTTCTCCCTTTAATGCCCATGAATTATTCAGCCAAAAGGTAATGAGAAATTCAAACTTATCAAATAGAAGTCCTTAACTTGATCTAAATTATAAACCGGCTTTATAATTTATATTCTGCATTCTATCGTGTTTCTCTTTTCTTTTTTTTAGTGATGCAGTTATATATTCTAGTTTTAAGTGACTGTCTTTTTCTGGATAAGTTATTAATTTATGTTTAAGCTTTAATTGTAATCTATCACTACTGCTGTACCTCTTATTCCCGCCCACCTCGACTAGCTCCTGCTATTTGTGGGCGTGAAGGGTCTTCATGAACATGAAAGTTTACTTGACAACCGATTAATGTTGATATCTTGTAAAACGTGTAGATTAGATTAATAATAATTAGATTAATAATAATAATTAAGTAGATATCAGTACAACTTAAGAAGTTTAAAGGTCTAATAAAGTAAAGGTGATCTAACACCAAATTCTCACAACTAATTTACAAGAAAATGTGTAGCAGCTAGAGGGGAGAATTAACAATCAGATCTTGGGAGTTCAGTGGTTAATAATAATAATAATAAAAGTCTTTATTAAGCACTCTAAACAACAAACGTGTTTAGTTACTGACAATGATATGAACTCAGCAAGTATAAAGCTAATTAACTAACTAAATTACTAACTGACTAACTAATAAGAGAACAAACATCTACTAACAAAAGTCCTCTTGAAACGTTCAGTTCTGACAAGCGGGAGAATATAATTACGGCGCCTCTTATGTAGCATAACCATTAGGTTGCTCTAGTGGCAAAAGGTCATCTAAAGCTGTTGTAAAATCGCTGTCTCTGATCGTGGCCCACAACTTCTTATCTTTTAGAGTAATAATATTTTCAATCGAAAAAAGCTCTTTACAGTAACCAAGCTTAAAAGCTCTCTTGAACAGCCTGTCTATGTGACTCAGATACTTATGATAATATGCGCAGCCCCATACTTCTACAGCATATGTAAATATAGGTAGAATAAGACTGATAAAAAGAAGATGAAGATGATCCAGCGGCAGTCCATAGAATTTACAAACACGTAAGATGTACAGACGACTACTGGCTTTCGATATAATATTATCAAAATGTAAATCCCAGTTACATGGATCAGATTGAAAAGTTACACCCAACAACTCCAGACATGGTTAACGCTCTATAGAAACGAGAGGAGCAGGTAAAGCCTCAGTGGATTTGCCTCTAAGAAGCATCTCCCACATTTCCTTGAAGTTGAGTTGCATACAGTTAGCAGATGTCCATGCTAATTAGATCTCTTTTGGATCTGATGTATTTGATCTAATTATATGGCTTTCTATGGTAGACCTGATTTCTGGCTGATCGGATGTGACTAACCTAATTGTTCCATTCATTTTAGATTTATTCAAAGTGGCATAAAGGGGAAAATCTTGAGAAAGTATTACAGCAGCTTGGAAAGTCTGTTGTGTTCAAACGTTACGAGAAAATTCCAGTGTAGGTACCTCCCAGAGAATTTGACTTAGTTTATTTAATTATGCTGTATGGCCTTTGACCTTGTGGCCTCTAATTATTTCTATTAGAAATTTTCTAATCTAAGAAAAGAGTTGCCCTATCTTCATGGTTTGTGTCTTTTGTTGAGACCAACTTTCTTGACCCTCTTGCAACCTTGTCTTCAGCTTCATTATTATCATTGTATTAAGCTTGTTACAATAGTAATGTCGTCTCTTTTTGTGAAGGAGTTCTTCAGACAGAGATGTTGAGACTTCGGAAAGACTTCACAGTCTTGCTGATGGCTTACCACAAGGTACATTTTTCTGTTTTGGTTAGGAGTAGACACCAAAGGCAACAAAGGATTGACAGACTCAGTCAGACAGTCAGACAGACAGGCACAAAAACATACTCAGATTTAAAGAATGAATGGGACAAGAACAAGGAGAACAGGGATTGTGCTGTGAATAAAAAAATCTAGATTATATTGAAACGTATGTGTAATTCTCTAGTTGGCAGGATTGAAAAGTGCTAAGTTTACACTGACAAAAGGAACCATGGGGTTCTATGTTGTTTTGTGTTTGAAATGGCTTCTTTTCTGGTGTTTTAGCTGGAGTTCCTGTTGATGTCTTCTGGTTTATTTGTGGGAGAGATGCCCTCCCTGTTAGGTAATGTATATATTGTGTACTTCTACATTTGTGTTCTATTTCAACATTTACTAATGACGTGAAATACATCAATCCCAGTGCTGGTAGAAAGTTCTAATTAAAAGCAGCTTTGTTGTCGAAATGAAACACTGATTTTGCTGCTAACAAATAATTCCTAGCTACCTGAGATTATAAGGTAGATGGTGATTATTAAAGGCAGCCAGCAACATTTACTTTTTGAAACTCTCCTTAATAATGATTTAAATTAGAATTAACTTGTAAACAGATATCTGAACTTTTCATCAACATATTAGAAATGGATGTTATTATTTACGCTTCAGATCCCACATGCATCTGTTCGGAGCTTTAAAGCGGCTACAACTGTGGCATAATGCCAACATCACTCTTCTTTGTAGCAATGTGTTTGACAGGCAAGTTACCAGTACTCTTCATGTTTTGCTCATATTTGTGGATATGATTCAGTTTCATTTTGACATCTGATTGGTTGATGGGGTGATGTAACTTTTACAGACCAATGAATGGACAAAGCAAACTTAGGAAAACCACCTCTTTTATGCCGGTTCAGATGTAATCTCTGCCATTACATTCACCACTCGTCAGGAAACTGTCTGCAGGAACTGAGACTGTCCAGTGTCCTCTTTATTGAGCAATTCAGTTAAGGTTGCTACTCGATACTCTTTGTGTAGTAATGAAATTAACATAAAATTATAATGAACTTGTTACTTTTTAAGGAGTTCATTTTTGAAGTCATGGCAGAAGGGTCTGAAGTTGTCAGTTACATTTCTTGACAAAAAAGTTGCAGTGCCAAAACTATATGATGCTCTGGTTGTTTGGCAAGGATCTTTGGTCTTCAGTGAGGTACATTATTTTATGATCAGTTTTCTGTGTGGACTGTTTTTACTTTTTTTTCTTGAGCGTGTCATGCTCTCTTTATATCTGTCTTTATTTAACAGTTTTTCTTTCCATGTTCATGGCTTTATTTTCTATCTTTCATGATTACGTTAGGGTCAATCAAGAACCATCATGCCAGGATTCAATTTGCGTTTTGATAAGAATGAGACTGAAATTAGTTTTGGTTCTTCTCGACTTCAGCCAAAAAGGTTTGAGCACTCTATTTTCTGCCTTGCAATTTGTATTTCAAGGTCAGTTTAGATTTCTTTGTGCTGGTTATCTATTGACCCATTTATTTCCTTTTCACCCGTTTCCCCGTGAATAGTAGTATTTCTCCGTTTGTGCGTCCATGCTTTAATGCGTTCATGCGTTATTGCGGTCGTAGGTTCGTGCATTTATGCGTTAGTCCGTGTGTTCCTTCGTTCGCGTACATTCATTTTTTTCGTTCGCTCGCTCATTCGTTTCTTTATTCCTTTTATATTTTGTTTCCTTGTTCACAGAAAGAAGAAAAATCCCATGGATAATGGGAAAACTTTCTCCATTGCACCAGAGATAACTATCCTCTGCAGAGTTGAGAAGCATACAGTTCCATTTCACATGTTTCTGCCATTAAGACTGGAATTGTATCTTTTATTTCATCAAATTGCGGTCAGATGTCGTTCAATTTTTAACATAGTCATTTTTTCTCTTTTCACATCCAAGCTTTAGTCATGAGAGCGATCTTCGCAGTAATGAACACTACTTAAGCAGTAGTTAAAATAAGACCTGAAAAAAATTCAGGCCTGTACGGGATTCGAACCCTTGACCTCTGCAATACCGGTGCAGTGCTCCACCAACTGCGCCAACAAGCCAACTGGGAGCTGGTCATTATGTTGATAGTTTTAGATTTGTCACTGCTTAAATAACCCATATTTCATCTATCAGTTTTCCATCTCCAAAGGCCGGGGACACGTGAAAAGCTAAAAACTGAATTAAAATCCCCTTATTTTTTAGTGATCAGGATCACATTCGAAAAATGGAGCAGGTTCTGGAGAAAATCTTACAAACATGTTGACTCAACCTCCTGCTATGTGATTTTGAGAACTTCCAGGTTTTCCTTTACTAGTCTGTTGTGTTGGTTGCGCATACAGAAGCGTCAACCAATCTTCTACTAAGCTATCAGCGAGACTTATCGAGTGGCTATCAATTGAAGAGAATAAGGTTGGTGTCATTGTTTGCTAATAGTCAAACCTCATCTCGATGCGCGGCATAGTGCGCCATTTACTGATGAATAGAGAAAAGTGTAGCCGTTGACTTTCTTTCAGCAATAACTGGTTATCTTGGCAAACCGATTGACTAACAGCAGTGCTATTTATTCACGAAACGCGCCGTTTTTCGTGCTTAGGACCAAAACTCTGTATTAAAGCGATTGGATTGTGTGATTTCAAATTGGATGTAGTTAAGTGGCAATTTATCTTTGCGTCGGACAATTTTGGTCCAAAATTTTAATACCCTTAATTTCAAATCGAACTCGCGCCAACTTGCATTTATTTTTAGAAAGATGACTCCCAGCAATTCATATAGATAACGAAATTCCCTTTTTCAGAATATTGCCCTGGTTGGAACATTACAGCTTGTTGCGTCGCACAAACACTGCACACAAAGAAAGAATAAGGAAGCTTGGTTTAACTATTTCAAATCTCAGAACCATACAGGTATGTCTTTAGTTGAGCATAGAAAACATTCGATTAAATTTCATACCAACAAAAGCAAAGACACTGGCAAATTGGCACCTTGAAATATATCACAGGTAGCCAGTGCGAGTTCAGCCGGGATGCTTGAAAAACAATATGCCGTAAGCGCGGGAAAATGCTTATGACTAAGCGAAACACGAACAACACTTTGACGCAACCGTCAAGATGGCATCTTGCAGCATTGATGGATCGTTTTATGAAAAGCTGGACAAACGTGCGTAATACTTTGCAACACCCAAAACTGTTGTAACAAAAAATTAAACCATTTTCAAACTAGATTCAACACCATCCAACATCTTGCAACATGTACATATTATACATATAAGTAACGCCAACAACGTATAACCCAACTGCGTATAAAACGTTGCGCGCAACATTTTGTAAGATGTTTGGTTGAAATGATGCGTGCGTTTGAACAGGCCTTCGGTCTTGTATCGACTTGTTGCAAGGTTGGCCTAAGTTTTCTAGACCTGTAACAGAGCGCAGTGAAGCAAAGCTAATGCAATCCCTTATTGCTTTCGACTCATATCTCAAATGCCCTTAAAGGAACTGTGCGCCTCTCGGGCAGACATTAACCACCTGTCTGATTCTACTGCTTTTTCTGTATAAACTTCAGTTACCAACAGACTTGATGTTAATAGTGGAGATGAAGATTTGAAAGAGTCTTGCAGGCGGGTGTGTCTCGTATGCGGCAGTAATGAAAAAGAACTGAGCTTGTATGTTCTGAGAAGGCCAGAAGACCTCAATGGCTGGATTCATAAGGAGCTGTCCTTAATCCAATCTTCATTCCTATTCTCTAATGATAAAAAAGGTGAAAAATGTCGAAACATCTCCTACTAGTCCCTAGAATAATTTGAAGTAACGACTGAGGGAAATTTTGTCTTTGTTTGTGTGTTTTTATGGCTTAAGTGTTGTTGGCAATATCGCAAAACAGAATCAACGTGTTTTGCTTCTGTTTCATTTTGAGTAGCCAAGGAACCATTTTGAGTACTTTTTTTTGGGCCGTGCAGAACTGCATTCAGAATATTATTTGGTGAGATATGAGGAAACACAAAAGAGGACTTCAACAGAGAAGGGTCAAGGATGGTTAACCGCACGGCAGTCCGGTGCTTTACAACATCAGCTAACTTCCTAACTCGCTTCACTCGCGTTTTCTTTTACTTTCAGTAAATTAGAAGAGATACTCTTTCCGAGAGTTAATGCTGATTTAACTGTTTTTTTTTTTTGTGTGTGTATGTTCATCTTTTTGTAGTTGGCGGGCCATTAAAATTTCCGGACCTGACAGAGAGTTTCATTGAAACAGAACAGAATTTAACCGAAGTTCTGCTGCAAGAGCTACACAATGAACTGCGTAAGTGTCTGTAGGTCAGGTCTCGCAGAGCAGAATAGAGCAAAGAATGTGCTGGCTCGAATCTTCTTGATTAAAGTGTCAAAATGTGAACTTGCTCTCATTGTATCCTTTGAATTGTGTTTAATCTTGGAAAGAAAGAGTTACGATAAATCCAAGTCCTTTAGCTAAGGCGGTCTTTTAGTGCAGCCAATATCAAGTTCTCTGTTGATAAGAATATCTTACTAGTGAGTGGAAGTTTGTGTTTTAAGTTAAAATGATTGCAAACTAGTTTGATTTGTAAATTTTCGTTGTGCAGGTCCCCTTAGAAATTTATTGGAACGACGGAATAACCAAATCAAACTAATCTGAAATCACTTTGACCTTAAATTGATTTTAAGCCACAATTTATACTCATACTTATTTCTTTTTTATAAGAAACCTCTGATGATCTCTTTTCGACGAATCGAGGGTGTAACATCGTTGATAAAACAACTTCGACCAAGTGGCAGTTCTTGAAGGAGAAAAGGTAACTGATGTATTAGTGTAAATCATATTGTAGAGCATTCAACTGAGTATCGAAAGTGATCGTGGGTTGCGTTGGATTTGCTTTACTTCGTTCTCTGATTAGTCTAGAAATCTCGCGCCACCATCTCAACCAATCAAATGCAAAACTAAAACATTACCAACTTGGTCACTCACACTTTCCCGCGCTTCAAGCAGTTTGCCTGCGTTTGCTTCGATTTCTCATTGGTTAATGACGATATTGACTCTTGGTCTGATTGGTAGTTGTGATTTCTTTGGTTTTGGTATTTCGGCACAGAAAATTGCTCAGTGTAGAGGCTGACCGTTCCATGCGATACTCTTACCTGTGCAATTTTAACATTCTGGTTTCGTCCGAGCTTGTCTCATGCACAATCGTAATTTTGAAGCTTTCTCGCCACATTCCTCGTTTTGAAGGTTATGTGACGACTAGGTGTATTCCATTTCTGGGAGAGCTGCTTTTTGATGAGTCTTTAATTTTCCTATTTGATGGCTTTCCACCTCTGAACTCCGATTCGAAATGCTAATTAGTTTCCAAAGTCTAATTAAATTATTTAGGATTTATCAGTTACATCTGTGGCTCTTTAATTTGTGTGGTATACTGGAAAAACAAAAAATCCCAACCAACAAACAAAACGAAAATAGGTAAACCGTAATTTATGTCCATGAGTTATCTAGGTCAACAAGATTATTTTGTTGTGGTGTTGCAGACCTGGTTGGAAAGATCATCAACTAGAAGCTGTCGATAAAAATGTTTTACCTCGAGACATGTCAGGTAAAAAGTGACACCTCGTTTGTTTCCGTCGCTCAAAAGAAACTCTTTTTGATATTTTAAGTGGTATTGTGGTTCTGATTAGAGAGGATGAAGCAAAGAGAATGAAATCCACATATAAATCTTCTTCGTAGGGTTACCCTTTTAAGTTATTTTTAGACCCATTGTTGTTTTCGCTTTGTGTGAAAGTTTTTGTGGAGAATGAACGGCTGGATTTGTGAAAGGGATTGGTGATATCTAGAAATCTTGTTGAGTCTCCTGAAACGGAAATGAAAAGTCTCCTGAAAAGGAGATGATCTGAAAATGAATTAAAATATATTATTTGAGGAGTAATTAAGTCTTAGCTAGGTCTTTTCTTGGTTATTGCATGTGCACGCTCTTCCAAAATGCGTTGCCATGATTTTTGATTTCTTAGCTCTCTGTCATTAGTAGGACCAGCTTAAAGTTTTATTTGCCGATGAAGGTTTTTGTATTCCTACCAAGGGGAATTAACTTGTCATGACTTGTTTTGTGTCATGCTCTTAGAATTATCGTTGTCTCCAAGTAAATGGCCTGAACGAGCTTGGCTAATCAAGAATGATCCGAATGCAAGGTAACTTTTAAAAAGATGATATACGATAGTCTTAACGATGAGGTACTCGTTTTTCCCCCCTTGATTTTTTCTATGCGATTTGAAGGAAAAGTATAATTTATATCTTCTCCATGAAATGTATACGTAAAAATTTTGCCACTTACTACGTTTTGAGATGCCAAAGATTAACTCAATGCTTATTGACTGAGTTTAGTCTGGCTTGACGGGAAAATATTTGGCTCTCGGTCATCACGCACAGACCTCGCTGCGTTCGGTTTAAACTCAGTCAATAAGTACATAATATGTATGGTGTCTGGAGAGAACTTCTCTTTTAATAACGAGCTTAAGATCCGACGACGGCAGAC